GCCCTCAAATCCTTAAAACTCCTCCCCGCCAGCACTGCACGCAGGGCCCTGCCCTCAAAGGCGGTTCCACCGCCTGTCCATCCATCCATCCACTCACCTACTCACTGATTCATCCATCCATCCATCCACTCACCTACTCACTGATTCATCCATCCATCCATCCACTCACCTACCCATGGACCCACCTACCATTGATCCATCCATCCATCCATCCATCCACCCAGATGTGCACTGAGCGCCCCCAGGTGCCAGGCCCTGGGCCCAAGCTGTGGGAATTCCTAGGTTAGGCAGCAGCTACTTTCACTCCTTCTCACAGGGTCCAATGGGAGATACAATGTGGATGGAGCTGGAATGTCAGGGCACTCCCCATGTGGCACCAGAGAGCCCGCCCCCGCCAGTCCAGCCTGGCCATGCAGCTGAGGGTTTTGGCAGGAGGGGACGCCCCGGGCGGTGGCAGAGGATGGGGAAGGCTGCTGGCCTGGCAGCTTCTCTGCCTGCTGCCCGCACGGGAGCTCAGGGGTGCCACCAGGGAGTGGGGACCACACCCACCTTTCCCACAGCCCAGGGAGCTGGTGAGGTGTTGAGTGGGGTGGGGCCCAGGGGGAGACCATGAGAGGTCGCAGAGCTCCGACTTCACTCTCCCCCAGACTGGGTTCTGTCATCCTCCAAAGACCTGGCCCGGGCGGAGCCGGAAAACACACTCTCTGAGGGACACGCTACAAAACAGTGGCCTGTGCTCTTCAGAACATCAGTCAAGCGACACACAGACAGCCCTGGCCGGTGGCTCCGTGGTTAGAGCGTCGCCCCACGGACTGAAGGGTCTCGGGTTCGACTCACGGTCAAGGGCATGTAACTGAATTATAGGCTCAATCCCCAGCCCCAGTCTGGGTGCATTCGGGAGGCAACCAATCCACGTGTCTCTCACACTGATGCTTCTCTCTCCCTCTCCCTCCCTTACATCCGCTCTAAAAATTCCAATGGGAAATAGATCCGTTTCAGGCTACAGGAGAGAAGAGGCAGGGCCGCCCCGTGTGCCACGGCGTCCGACTCTCTTTTGCCATAAAGGACGTGATGGGAACAAGTTGGGAGTCAGAGTAAGAGCTCAGGTTAAACAACTGCACCCTATAAACCTTAGTTCCCCGACGTTGATGACCGCACTATTTAGACAAGAGGATACGCGTGTTTAGGAAACACACGTGAAGTAGTTGGAACTCCAGGGACCTCGTGCCTGCGTGGGGCCACCCAGTGGCACAGGAAATGACATACACGCTGGAAGGGAGGAGGCAGAGTCGGAAATCACTGTTTCGCAACCTCTCACGAGCTGATGGCACGAAGCCATAATGATGGAGGTGGGGATCCCGAGGGAGGGTTCCCCCCAAGGTCACCCCTCCCATCAGCCCAGAGGGACGGGGACATGACAGATACGTGTGGAATCCATGGGATGCCCTGAGCAAAGCCACAGAGGGCCCGGCCCCCACAGACAGCCTGGCCCCCCACAAAGGGCCGAAAGAGAACCAGCGGGTGAGCCCCTGAAGGGACGCAGCTGCCCGTCCGGCGCGGAGGCTGCTGACGGAGGACGTGGAGGAGGCTGGGAGATGTGAGCTCACGTGGGAAGCCAAGGACATTAAGAAAAACTTGTGGTTTTTTCCGTGGTGATGTTAGACGTGCGGCTTTCGTTCCTAAAACATAGCGAGCTGCCTAATGAAATATTTACAGATGACACGACAGGGTGTGCAGGGATTCCTGGGGGCGGGGCCATGGGGTGCAGGGGACAGAGGGGCCTGGCCCGGCTCACACTCCGGCGGAAGCTGGGGGTGGTGCGTGGGGGAGAACACGACTCGCTCTTGGTGTCTCTCTGAAATTTTCCATCATTCAAAAGGAATGCCCGGCCCGGCCAGCGTGGCTCAGTGGGTTGGAGCCAAAAGTCTGCAGGTTCGATCCCCGGTCAGGGCACACACCCGGGTTGTGGGTTCGACCCCTGGTCGGGGCACATACGGAGGCAATCGACTGACGTTTCTCTCGTATATTGGTGTTTCCCTCTCTTCTCTGCCTCTCTCTGAAATCAGTGTAAAACACCCTCAGGTGAGGAGGAAAAACAAGAAAGCCCGTCAATGCCCCCCCCCCCCCGCCCAAGGCTGTACACGCAAGCTCTCCACGGTTACGACGAGAGCTCCCGGGGCCGCAGGGACGGACTCTCCGACCGAACACGGAGGGGGGACCACAGGGCTGGTCCAAGGGCACCAGCGACGCAGCTCGTGGCCAGGAGCCTCTTCTCCTTTCCTCACGGATCCAGGCGGCCCCACACGGTGTCCTGTGGGTCCCGGCGGTCCTGCCACCTGGTGGACACTCGCTCCCCACTGCCCTGCCTGGTAACCCCCCCAGTTAGAGGCTCTCACAGACCCTGCCCATTTGCTGATGGCATTTGGCTCTGCTGGCTCACGGAGACTTGTGTCATGGCCAATATTTGGCCACTGGACCCGCAACAGCCAAAGTTCACGAGGCTCCCCTGCTGATGCGGCAGCATCCCCGCCAAGCTCGGGCGACTCTGCCGGCTCCGCCGCACACGGGCTCCCATCAGCGCTGGCCGAGCGGCCTGTGCTCCGTGCACACGGGTCCCCCTGCGGGCCCAGCACAAGCAAGGTCACAGGCAGAGGACAGACTGGCCAGGCAGGCCCAGCACCGACTGCAGCCCCAGGCAGACCTGCTGCGCCCGCCCCCCAGCAGCTTGCCAACAACCTCAGGCGCGTGGGAGACGGAGGCTGTGTGGGAGACACCTGCACACGTGCACACACGCAGAGTTAACAGCACACACACGTGCACACAGGCAGAGTTAACAGCACACACACGTGCACACACGCAGAGTTAACAGCACACACACGTGAACATACGCAGAGTTAACAGCACACACACGTGCACACACGCAGAGTTAACAGCACACACACGTGCACACACGCAGAGTTAACAGCACACACACGTGCACACACGCAGAGTTAACAGCACACACACGTGAACATACGCAGAGTTAACAGCACACACACGTGCACATACGCAGAGTTAACAGCACACACACGTGCACACAGAGTTAACAGCGCACACACGTGCACACAGGCAGAGTTAATAACGCACACACGTGCACACACGCAGAGTTAACAGCACACACACGTGCACACAGAGTTAACAGCACACACACGTGCACACACGCAGAGTTAACAGCACACACACGTGCACACACGCAGAGTTAACAGCACACACACGTGCACACACGCAGAGTTAACAGCACACACACGTGCACACACAGGCAGAGTTAACAGCACACACACGTGCACACAGGCAGAGTTAACAGCACACACACGTGCACACATGCAGAGTTAACAGCACACACATGCACACATGCGGGGTTAACAGCACACATACGTGCACACATGCAGAGTGCGCACGCTCATGCACGCACATGGAGTTAACTGTGCACACATGTGTACATATGCGGAGTTAACACACATACACACGCAGAGTTAACAGCACACATGCAGCGTTAACTGCACACACGTGGAGTTAACACGCACGCACATATGTGGAGTTAACTGCACACATGTAGATTTAATGACGCATACACACATGTGCACAGAGAGCTGACTGCACACACGTGTGCACACACTGAGTTAACCATACACACACATGTGTGCGCACATGCCTGCAGAGGGGCGTGCTGACCAGGAAAGGGGTTTGGGGGGAAGACAGGCCTGCAGGCCTGCGGGGGGACAATGTGTAGAAATGCAGTGACACACGGCACCCGCTTCCGGGAGAAGGAGGCCGCGCACCCGAGGCTTCCCGCCTTCACCTGCAGGCCCGGGCCCGTGTGGCTGGGAGCAGGATGCCCACGGCTACGGCTCAGACCACGCTCAGTGCTCGAACAACCAGGGACACACAGGACGGAGGGAGACAATCCCAGTGGGGACAGAGGGTGCCCGTGGACAGGCAGGGAGGGAGACCCAGCCGGGCATGACCCCCGCAGGAGGTGGCCCGCCTGTGGCCCTTCCCCTGGGCCTGGGCAGCCCTGCGTGGCTCGGACGTGACTAGTTCAGGGTGCTCAGGGGCGGCGCTGCCTGTCCCCCGGCATGTCCCTGACAGGGTCGCTCACACCCCGAGTCGCCGTGTTGTGCAGGGGCCACGTGCGTGGCTTCAGGGCTCGTCTGCCTGGTTGAGGGCATCACCTAAGGGTCACTATTTCCTTAGCCCTCCGTGCCTGGGTCTCCTCACCTATAAAGCTGGGGGCCGGCCCGCGTGGCCCAGTGGTCGAGCATCAACCTATGAACCAGGAGGTCACAGTTCGATTCCCAGTCAGGGCACATGCCCGGATTGCAGGCTTGATCCCCAGTAGGGGGCGTGCAGGAGGCAGCCAATGACTGATTCTCTCTTATCATTGATGTTTCTATCTCTCTCTCCCTTGCCCTTCCTCTCTGAAATCAATAAAAATAAATAAGTAAAAGAGTGACACAGAGGGGCAGCAAGCGATCAAAGGCAGCACGTGGAATGAGACCGTGTCTGTGGGACCCGCAGGCCCTTCGAAACCCACCCAAGGCCCAGGGCAGGAGCCAGTGGGTGAGCAGCGCCAGCAGCCCAGCCCCGACTCCAACGCGGCCAACACACACACACACACACACACACACCCCTGCTGTGCCTCACGATTCCCGGCGGAAACTGAACAGAACACACGGCACAACAGGCCCGCGTCAAGGGCTGGAGACACAGGCGCCGGTTCACTGGATGATCCGATTCCCGGGACGCTGCATTCCCGCCTGAGGCTCTCTCCTCTGCCCCAGGGAGCAGCCGTCACCGCCAGAGCTGGGCTTGGCGGGCAGCAGAGGGACACGCAGACTCGGGAGGTGAGAGGCGTGTGGGCGTCCACACGGGGCCACACCTGTCCACAGGCGTCCAGGGGAGCTGTCCTGACCAGCTGGACAGAGGCTGGCATCCTGTGTCGTCCCCCCCCCCCCAGGTACTCACGCAGGAAGTGCTTCTCCAGCAAGGCGATTTCCAGGTGACCTTTGATCTCATTCAGGCGATCAGACTCCGTCCGGTTAAAGTCCTGGACTCCTGCGGCCATGATGAGGGTCCCTGGACCGGCCTGGAGGGAAGCACCGAGAGAGAGCGCTCGGGGAGCCGCCTCGAAGCCTCCTGCGTCCACCCAGCGTCCCAGAGCCCCTGCCGGACCCCGCAGACGAGGCACGGATTCAGCCTTAAAACCGCATCAGGTCGTCTGGGCCGCGCCCTGCACCGGCCGGGGTGGTGGAAGGCACAGTGGCTCCCCTGCCCCACCCCAGGGAGACGCGTATGCCCACCAGCAAACCAGTCTGTCCCCCCTGCTCACCCTCCCTTGGTGGCCAAGAGGTGGCCACATAACCACGTGATTATACTAAATACCACTGAACCACACACTTAAAAATGGCTCAAGTGGCAGGTTTTATGTCATGGATGTTTCACCACAATAAAGGGATGCAATGAAGAGAAGGAACCTAAACACACACAGGTCACCAACCTCCCTCATAATGAGGCCTCACAAACAACCACTCGGAGCTCCCGCCCCCCACCTCCCGCCCCCCATCTCCCGCCCCCGCCGGGCCGGAGCCAGCAGGGCCAGAGCACAGCTGAGCGACGGAGGAAGGGCGTGGGGCACACACCCAGGAGGGCGGCCTGGTAACGGCCACGGGATGACACACACCAGCCACCTGGTGGGCATGAAGCTCTCGGGAGTGGCAGATGCCCGGAGGCGCCGAGTGTCCTGGAGGGAGAGGCTCCTGCAGCGAGGGCAGCCCACTCCCCCACCGTGGGATCCTGCGACCAACCACCCCCACCTGCAGAAAGGGCCTCCGAGAAATACATGGAGGAAGTGGATGGGGCCTGGCTCACACAGCCCTGGGCGCCACCCCCATCCCCGCTCCGTCCCGAAGCCTCGCGGGGCACCGCACTCTTAGGACAGCGCCGTGGCCTCTATGGTGCCCGACGGGAGCACTGTCGCCAGCCCAGCCTCGTGGCCGTGATGGAACTGCCCCAGCCTGCTGACCCTTTGTGCTGTTAACTGCCACGTGCACTCAGACATGCATGTGCATGCGTACACACACATACGTGCACGCACACGCACATGCACATGGGAGGGCCGGGCTCCGGGTGGAGTCAGGGTCTCCATCAAGACAGTTCCTGGACACAGGCAGCTGCCACTGGCCTGGCTGGACAGATGGACAGAGCGCGGAGAACAGTCAGACTGTGGACGCTGCGGGATCCGGCCCCTCTCTCTCTCTCTCTCACACAGCCTGGAGCCACATGTGGGGATTCTTGCTTCTGAGAGGACCACCCTCGGCCCCAACAACATCCGGAACCACAGCCCCAGCTCCAGGCTGATGCCGGCCAAACAGAACACACCGCTGTCCTTGCAGACAAGCCGTGCTGCTCGGTGACGTGGTGCACCAGGGGCCCGGCGAGCCGCCTGGCCTGGCCCGCCCTGCCTCTGCCGGGGCCGGGAGCGCCTGCCGGGAGCGGCGGCTCTCAGGAGGCAGTGCCAGTGAATTATTCATCCCGCCGGGCGCGCAGGCCTGCTCCCTGACGGAGCATCAATAATACACGGAGCGGGAGGCAGGCGCACAGGCCGCGTCTGCACAGAACACCTGGCTCAGGTCCTTGCGAAGGAAACCCATGGGCCCCGGCCGTGGGGAGGGCCGGGCGGTTGTCACAAGGATGCGCCCAGTGATCATACCCAGCCAGAGAGGGGGCCACAGAGATCCCCCCACCCCGCTGATCAAATGCAAGCTCCAGATGCGGGGCCCACAGGGCTGGTGCCCACAGAGCCGCCGCGCCGTGTGGGGGTGCCCTGGGATGGTCGCTGCCCCGACGAAGAGCCCCACCGACTGGCCCACGGGGACCATGTCTCTGAGAGGGCTGACGAGGGCACCCGGCAGCAGGCCGGGGGCGGAAGCTTCCAGAGTGCCCTGTCCGTGCCCCTCCGCGTTACTGCTCCCAGGGGGCCAGCCTGGGCCTCAGCACCACCTCTGCTGAGGAGTCTGCCCCCACCCCCCACTGGGAGGGAGGACCAGCTGCTGCGCCAGCGCTTGGCAGAGGAAAGGCTGCTACCCGGCCCGGGACAGGGACCCCTGCCTGCCAGCGACACGCGGGGCGAGGGGCGGGGCCAGTGACGGGCGGGCGAGGACCAGGAGGGGAGCCGGCAGGTCACGCTCTGCCACGTCCACACTCAGCCTGGCGCCCGGGTCTGCGGCGGGCGGAGGGGCCACGGGCCCCGGGCGGGTACTCACAGGGTCCCTCAGCTCCTCGCCGTCCCGGGCCCGAGGCACTCTCAGGGGCACGTCGTCGCCACATTCGTTGTCCGAGGCGTTGGGAGACTCCGCCAGGTCGAGGAAGTCGTCTCGCTTGTGACCTCTGAACCTGATCTTGTCCAGCCTCCTGAGCATGTTCAGCACTGAGCCCCGCTGCTTCACCCTGACATGCCGCTCGGGGTCCCTCGCGGAGCAGAGGGAGGCACGGCGCTGGTCACT